GTCCACTCTGCATGCTCCCAGGATGATCTATACAGTGAGTTCACTTTTCATGTGCACCTGGCTGGTCCCTCTGTGACAGTCACCACCCTGACTGCCTCCCAGAGGTAGGTCCTCAACAGCAACGCTGATGATAATCTCCACATTCAAGGATTCTGTCTCACCCTCCCCAACCAGAGTCCCCAGTTTCTGTGCTGAGCCCCAATACCGTCCCCTCCAAGCACCCCACAGATGGGCTCCCAGAAACCACTGCTGGTAGATGGGAGGGAAATGGGGCAAACCACTGATCCTTCCCCGGAGAGAAAGGAACCGCACATAGGCTTTGAGAGGCTGCTCGGCCCGGGATTTTGACATGCCCAGAGTCCTGCTCATGCTGTTGGAGCTTGGAAGCCCCTCAGCTCTGGGGCTCTGAGAGGCAGTAGACAGAGTGGGTAGGAGGGAGGCTGCCTGGGCTGAAATCCCCACACCAGCAACTACGGGCTGGCTGTCTGAGGCAAGCTCCTCAGCACTGAAAAGGCTTGGTTTCCGCATTGGTAAGTGGGGACAAGCTAGCACCTCTGTCATGGGGTTTATGCCAGATGATGCAGATAAAGGGCTTGAACACGCTTCTCGCCACATGCCAATCATTCAACAAATGCTGGTTCCTACTGTTATTGGTAAAGGAAGAGACGGCAGGGTGGTGGTGGCTTCCTATGTATGTCTCTCTGAACCTCTGGGGGGCCATCTAGGCTGGGTCCCAAGAATGAAGGTTTTTGATGAGCTAGTGTCTTTCTGGAAGAAGGTCACAGTCCGGGGAATGAAAACACCAACCAGGAAGGCACCCTCGCCGTGCTGGAGCAAACAGGAGAGGCAGAGAGCTGGGCACAAGATGCTCCCCCAGCCCCAGCCTCAAATTCACAGCTCACAGTTCATCAGAGGGGGCCCCCATCTCCCAGGGAGGGGGAGAATGGAAGGTGCAGCGCACAGGCATCCCCTGATGGTTTCTGGAGGAGAAAAAAGATCGTAGTAGAGAAGTGAGGGCTGGGGATGGGACACAAAGGAAACCTCAGCTCTGGAGGTGCCTTGAGTAGCTGGCCCCAGCCCCCCCACCCGCCAGCCGCCAGCCTGCCCGTGGCCTGCTCTGGCATGGCTCCGGGGGGCACAGTGCCAACCCCTGAGCTCTCCCCCCACCATGTCCTTTCGCTGCTTCCAAAATAACTCCCTGCTCGCTGCCCAAGTTTGGCTTCTCGGGTGTTTTTCTCCTCCTGGGACCTGTTCTCCCATGTCTGAAGGGCGGGAGAAGAGACCTGAATTGTCATTAGGAACTGGAGATCACTCCATTTTTGCCAATGGACTAGTTAGCACCAAGGGGCCCCCATAATTCTGAGAGACCCCCAAGTCAGCAAGTTCATTTCAGTTTGGCTAAAAGAAGTTGCCATTTTCAACATGAGGAAGAGGGATTGGCATTCTCTCCCCTACCCCATCTCCTGCACCTTCCCAAGGTGTCTGAAGCCCCAGTGGACTCCTTGATCTTGGCCTGGTCCCAGTAGTGAGTCTAAGGTCACACAGCCCATTAAGGATGAGCTCAGAGGAGGATCCTCGTAGCCCCTCAGGGCGTGCCTGCCCTCCCCCCACCACGCCCACAGCCACACTCCCAATCCCAAGTGCCCCAATGAGCTAGAGCAGAGAGACTAATTTCAAGGAACTCCGTTTCTGGGGAGAAGCTGGACTCTCCAGAGAGCGCTGACCTAGAAATCCAAATTCTTCCTCTTTGGAGAGCCTCCCACCAGGCGGCAGGCTTAGCCCCAGCTCCCCCGGGCATCCCCTGGGAGAAGGATCACTTCCTCCATCATCCCAGCCCAGGAGCCCAAGAGCAGAACTGGCTGCTCGAAAAGCCCATTTCCCTGAAAGTCAGCGCGAGGGGGCTTTATTAGTAAGGAAGGAGGGCGGGAGGGAAGGAAGGGTGATCTGATGTGACCCCAGAAGATGAGACTCTGCCATCCTAATTCCCCATCCTGTCACTAGTAGCTCTGCTGGGCCCTTTCCACAATAGCTTACTTGTAGCGGAAGGCATTAAGAAAAACAATATTGGCCGGGCGCGGTGGCTCAAGCCTGTAATCCCAGCACTTTGGGAGGCCGAGGCGGGTGGATCACGAGGCCAAGAGATCGAGACCACCCCGGTCAACATAGTGAAACCCCGTCTCTACTAAAAATACAAAAAATTAGCTGGGCATGGTGGCACATGCCTGTAATCCCAGCTACTCAGGAGGCTGAGGCAGGAGAATTGCCTGAACCCAGGAGGCGGAGGTTGCGGTGAGCCGAGATCGCACCACTGCACTCCAGCCTGGGTAACAAGAGCGAAACTCTGTCTCAAAAAAAAAAAAAAAAAAAAAAAAACAATATTAATAGTAAACATTTTGTAAGCCCTTATAGCGTAAAAGGCACTTTGCTTTCTTTGCCTCATCTGCTCCTCCTCACAACCCTTCGAGGTAGATACTATTAGTGTTTTCATTTTAAAGATTGAGAAACTGGAACTTTGGAGAGGTTAAGTGATTTGCCCAAAGACACGGCTCATCAACAGTGGAGCTGAGACTTGAGCCCACGCCCAGCAGGGCCTCCCCATTCGGATCCCCTCTCCTGTGCCCCGTCTGTCTCTCCCCTGGGGGGCATGGGTCAGTGTGGGAAGCAGGCTGCAGCGCGTGTGGGGCCATCAGGGTTGAGCGCCCATGGAATGGGGGGAAGGCGGGTGGAGTGGGAGCGGGCTGGGGGCCAACTCTGCTCTGAGCCAGGCTTTCTTCTCCTCCGCCAGCCGCCCCACCCGGCCGCGCCCCATGCCCGCTGCTGCCAGAGCCGAGAGGTTTCCTTTTTCTTTTGCCTAGGGCTGTTTCCTGTCTTTCCTTTGAACTGGGGTGTTGGCTCCCCCACGCATTCACCCACCTCTGGCGACCCCCCGGGTCTGCCTTCTGATGGGCCTGCCCTACCAGGCTCCACTTTGGAGCAAGGCTGGCACAGGAGAGCCCTAGGGGACCCCATTTCCTGGAGTCACTGTACCCCTCCTTCACCCTTCTCTTCCCCACCCTGGTTTGGATGACGCCTGGGTGCTCCCCTTCCCTTCTTCCCTCCCCTCACTGTCTGCTGCTGAGCGGCTCTCCTCGGGAGCTTTCTCTGTCACTGCACCAGGAGCAGGAGACTCAAAGTGGATTGCTCCCTGCCTCTCCCACTTGCTAGTTTTTCATCCAAAACATGGCTTCTCCGGACATTGAGGTCCAGAGAAGTTTTGGGACTTGCACAGGGTCTCATAGCAACTGAGAGACTGAAGATTAGAACTCACAAACCCCAAGTTTCCGGAAGGAGGAGTCAAACTCTTAGAATCTATTAGAAAGGGTGACTAAGACTGGGCTGGGGAAGGATGGCCTTGGAAGTGAGAAATGAGAGCTGGCACCTTGACACCCACTCTCCACCCCAATTCACAGCGCATCCTCTCCAAGGCTGGCTCTCGCCTACTAAGGCCACCTGTTTCTCTGCTTCCTCATCTGTAGCTCCTCCAGGGGCCTATCTAGACGCTGGGGTCTTCCATCAGGTGCTCCTCTCCCCTCCCTATTTTTTCTAGACTGTACTCTAAAGAAAAACAAAACAAAACAAAACAAAACAAAATTGGCTGAGCACTGTGGTGAACGCCTGTAATCCCAGCACTTTGGGAGGCCAAGGTGGGTGGATCACCTGAGGTCAGGAGTTCGAGACTGGTCTGACCAACATCGTGAAACTCCATCTCTACTAAATACAAAAAATTAGCTGGGCATGGTGGAGGGTGCCTTTAATCTCAGCCACATGGGAGGCTGAGGCAGGAGAATCACTTGAACCCAGGAAGTGGAGGTTGCAGTGAGCTGAGACTGCACCATTGCACTCTAGACTGGGCAACAATAGTGAAACTCTGTCTCCAAATAAATAAATAAATAAATAAAAAGCAAAAAAAAACCCTAAAATTACTCTGGGTTCCCAGTAGAGCTCATTCCATCTTCTTGCCAGGCTCTTCCCCCTCTCATAGCCCCCAACTACAAACACACCTATCCTATAGCTCTCATAGAACAGGCCTGCTCCCCTCCGTCCCATGCTAACTTCAGGTCTTCCTCCTCCAGGAGGACCTCCATGACTAACATTTCTTGGCCCTGGCCACGCTAATAACAACACTGGCTAACATCTGCTGAGCTCTTCCCACAGGCCAAACATTATGCCAAAGCCTTTGCAAACATTATCTCAGTGAATCCACACAGCAACCCTATGAGGTAGACCTTAACCCCATTTACAGATGAGGAAACCAAGTCACAGGAGGGCTGATCAACTGGCTGGGGGTCACATAGCAAGTAAGTCATAGCTTGAACCCTGCTTTGTTGTGGCAAATGCCACAACCCCTTAGTCTCTGCCTTCAGCATCCTGTCTGTATCTCTTTGGTTGTAGACATCCCCTGCAAATTACCCTGCATCTACACACACAGAGAGACACACAGACACACACAGACACACACGCACGCACATACACACACACACACAGGCACACACAATGCACACACGCACAGACATGCACACACACAGACACACAGACACACACGCGCGTGCGCACGCACATGCACACACACACACACCATCTAACCTTTCAAACGAGTCCAGTGGTTATCAGTTATCACAGGCAATCCTAAAGGGAGTGAATTCCCAAGAAAGCAATAAGCAATCGGAAGTGAGGGTTGCTTGGGGTGGTGGCCCCTCCCTCATCCCTGGTGGCAGGAGGTGATGAAAATGGGCGCTTGGGCGTGACTGCAAGTGTGTGAGCCTCGGGTCTTTTACAACTAGCTGTGTGAGGCACCCTTCCTAGTTTAGTGACACTGCTTGGCCTTGGGGGCCCAGAGTAACCACCCGATCCTTCTACTCAGGAACAACTCCGGGGATGATCTGTCTCACAGGCTGTTTGCTGTCTGTGTATTCCTGTTTCTGCACTGTGTGCACGTGATTGATAGAATAGAACAAGAGGCGATCCTTTTGTAGTTCAGAAGTGTGACAATTGGGTTTTTGGACTCATGTGTGAGAAGTGCCTCCTTCCTCAAATCTTGCTATGAAGGCAGCACATTAAGGCACATTTTTTCATAAAAAATAAAGAAAAAGAAGAAGAAGAATAGAACAGGCATCATGCCTTCTCATCACCAGCAGATTGGATGTCCCAGAGCCGGGGGCCCCATCTCCCCGTCAGTCTATTCCTGGAACAGGCCCTAGCCAGGGAGAATGTCAAAACCCCGGTGAGCGTCAATGAGCCTCGCTGAGACTACAGTTTAGGAGGAAACTTGAAAAAAGAGACATATGAAGGATTGTGAGGATCTGAAGTCTGTCTTCCCAACCTTGATCAAACAGGGCTGCCATCGAGTCCAAAAGCAGTAATAGTTTTTGGACATGGGTGTCAGGGCAAAGAATACCAGTTAGCTATACAGACGCCTTTCTGGTCTTCCCTAGAGCCCAGATGGAGGGACACAGAAGCACCTGCCTCATGGAAGGTATTGGCTGGAAGGAGAAACATCTCACAGTGGTGGGGTCGGGGAGCGGATGTGAAGTCATTTTTTACTGAGACCAGGTCAAGGAATGTACAAGAAGACTTGCGAGAACTTTCTAGAGCCCATAGCTCCTGGGTGCCTCCTATGGTTCCGTCTATGGCTCCTTCTAAGGATCTTCGAGTTCTCTCTGGCCTGCTACTTCCTGCATATCCAACTGTTTTAACATTTTTCATTCTCAACTCTGTGTCAGGAGGACCTAAGTCCCCATCCTCCATCCTGATCCCCAACCTCCAATTTTTACCAACTGGTTGGGCTCCAAGTCCCCAGAACCAGCCAAGTATTGATCAAGAGCTGCCCCGACAGTCACCTCCCCAGCACACACCTCTCTTCCTCCAGCTACAAACCATTCCCTTGAGTTCTACACTCACCCAGTAGGCTCAATTCCCCTCCAGTGTGGAGAGGCCTGGTCGCTTACCGCCACCTCCACAGGGCAGCCATAGGAGGCATGATCATACTAGCCACCATTTCAGAGTCACCCTTGGGTGTCAGGCACTGTGCCGGGGACTTTCACGGAACATATTATCTCATTTAATTCTCTCAGCAACCCGCTTCCTCCTCTTCATGTACACATGAAGAACCTGAGGCTTAGAGGTGTTCAGTGAGTTACTCTCAGTAGATGGCAGAGCTAGGAAGGAGCCAAGGTTTGAGCGGCCCAGACAGAGAGGCACTGCTGGTTACGTCATCAGATGCAAGTCTGCGCGTCCTCAGCAAGGACTGGGCTACATGGGGCAGAGCCAGGCTGGGCATCTCCTAACATCACCGAAAAGGGAAAGGAGCCCCCAGACCTCCCCACCCTGGCTCTTCTCCTAGCCAGCCCTCAACCCCACCTTCGGGGGCCTTCGTGGCACAGCTGTTCTCCAGAGAGGGCAAAGAAAGAAGAGTCCTCCTCTGAGCCACCCTCAGGACAACTATAGGGACAACTTCACGCACCATCCAAATGGGACCTCTCCGCAGCCCAGGGCAGGGGACACAGTCCTCTGCCACCTCCCTCCAAAATTCCAGACCCCACCGCTAAATTCCCCACATCCCCTCTGGACCCATACCTTCTCCAGCTCCCACTCCCTCCCATCACTCTGCCACTCTCAGAAGCATCCCCTGAGTCTTGAGAGAGCGGGGAGAGAGGGGCTTTCTCAATCCCCAGGAAGACACAGACCAGCTCAGAAAACCCCACCTCCACTGAACCCCAATGCAGACTTCCCTGCTCTGAGGGAATTGTGACAAGCCAGTGGGAAAATCTTCTGTCAGCATGGACGGTGGGATGCTTGAATTCCAAAGGTGACACTGTACCTCCTTCCCCAAGTCCTTCTAGAAAAAGGATCATTGTCCAGTCTAGGAAGACTTAATGCTGGGAAAGCATGCTGGACCATCAAGCTCTGGAAGGCCCTATATTCCCTGCCCCTTCAACCTGGGCAAGCGACCTCCCTTTGGCTTGCCCAGAGAAAGGCTCCAGAGATGTCATGTCTAAACTCTTTAGCCACAGGACCCTGTCTTCAAATGAACCAATGTCATATACTCCCAGGATATAAAACTGCTGAAAGCGGGGCTGGTCTGGGCGTCCGGCTGGAGCCGGAGCCTGCTCTGCTGTGCCAGGTGCTGAGCGCCCGGGTCTGAGCAGCTCGTGCCTTTATTCCCATGACTGCCTCTGCCATCACCGCTGCACTGTGGAGGGTTTCATTTGCCCTTCTGGAAGATGGACCTTATTTTTCCCTTCTCACTCCCTCACCTGTGCTCACAGCCTGAGCCTTTTGGAATGGAGGAGAACATCCCGACCTGGGGACAGGGACATTTGGAGAGGCGCCCCATGAAGATTGCCATCTGGGACTCTCTACCCCTCACCAGGACACTGCCAGCACTGAGCACCCTTTTAGTTCAACAGATTCTTGCTGGCCCCTGTAAAGCCTTGCCCAGCCTCCTCTTCCTCTGAGCTCCCAAGTGCTGGAACCCCGAAGCCATGAAAGGCCTCTTTCAGACCAGAAGGAGCTCTGGGATTCTAGCCCTCAGCAGAACGCCCCAGGCTTTCCCAACTGCTCCAGCACCTCTGAGGTGAGAACCCTGCAGGCTGGGCTGGAGAAGGTTTCCTTTCCCTGGAGCCCGGGCTAGGGGTGCAGTGGGTGGCCCGGAATGTGCTCTCACACCCTCCTCCTGCCCAGGTGGTGAGCAGCCAGAGCCCTCAACCCTCCGGTTCTGAAGGGACGCTCCTTTGAGCCAGACGGACAGGACCGCTGCCCCCAGTAGGGTCCCCTTCACGCGCCGTCTCACCCCAACTCAGACGCTAAAAATGGTTCTCTGGTTTTCAGCCTCGGCGCCTGCCCACAAATTAGTGTCTCCAACTCAGCCTCTTGGGACATGACTTTAGGGAGGACCCTGAGGGAGCCAGGAGGCCCCAGCGAAGGGAGACGATGCTGGCAGAGTCCCTTTTTGAGGAGACAAGAGTGGATAAGGCCCTCCTCCCAGCTTCTGGGACCCCCCGACGAAGGCCACCCAGCCTCGGCGTGACAGCCCTCGCCATGGCAGAGGAACAGACATGATTTCCACCCTACTGGGGCACCTCCCCTCACCTCCACCTCCAGTTCAGTCTGCTTTGCCCTCAGCCACCGTCCCGGGCACTGCTCTGCTAGAGGAGAAGGCAGACACAGGAGATGGGGCAGCCAGCCCCGCGCCCTCCCCCTCAGGGTTCAGAACCCACCTCGCCTAGCTCGGGCGCGGATAAGCCAGAAGCCCGGCGCCCAGAACCCGGGAGACCAACCGGGAAGCCAAGTCGGGGAAGCCCGGGCTCCCTGGTGTCCTGAGATTTAGTCTCACACTCTTCTCTCCTCCCCAGTCCCGCAGCTCTCAACTTGGAATGGGGCGAACCCTCCCCGGGATGCCCGCGCCCCAGGGCACCAAGCAAGCAGGTGCCCTGCCGTGGCCAGGACTGGGCGCTAGCGGGCAGCCCGCAGGACCAGGCGGGGACAGGCGGGCAGTACTCACAGGTAAGCCGTCAGGGGGTCCAGGTCCCCCGGTACGGCGGACAGCCCGAGCTCAGAGCAGTCGGCCGACAGCATGATGCCATCCTCCTGGCAGTGGCAGGGGGCCGGGCAGGCGGCGGGACCCGGGCCGGGCTGGGGGGCGCTCCGGGAGGCGCACAGCGCGGCGCAGAGCCACAGCGCCCGGAGCCCGGGCGGGCTGGGCATCTCGGCGGCCGGGCGGCTGGGGCACCTGGCGGGCGGGCGGGCGGGCGCGCGGGCGCGGTGGCCGCCGCTGCTCCCTCCCGGTCCCGGGGGGCTACGCCGTCGGTGGGGACCGCCCCGCGCGCTCTGCTGGGCGGCGGCAGCGGTGGGAGCGCCGGGACGGTGCAGTCAGAGAGGGGCAGGCATTGTTGAGTGATCTTCGTTATTCAGTTTCACAGGCTGGGCTTGGCAAGGGAGGGAGACACAGCCGGAGGAGGAGTCAAGGAAACTTTCTACGCTGCGGCGCGCTCCCCTTCCCTCCTTCCCTCGGAGCTGGCAGCAGCTTCATCCAGGAACGAAAAAAAGAGGAAGAAAGCAAAGAAACGCAGGCGAGCCAAGCGCAGCCCGTCAGAGACCGGCACTTGTTTGGAAAGGGTCCCCCAGGGCCTCGGCCGCGGGGCTCGGGACCCTCCGGCCTCTCGGGACAGCCACGGGGTCCCATGGGACCCAGAGGAGGCCTCTGAGAGAGACCTGGGGGCTCCCAGGGCCCCTCAGATGCCTCCACCACGTTTCGCACTGGAGGAAACCGAGACCCAAGAGGAGAAACGATTTGTTCAAGGTGACACGGCTGCGGGGGCAGCCCCAGAGCTGGCACTCACGCGCCCGCCCCGGCCTGCCTCCCAGACGGGAGAGCCGAGTGCGGGGCTGCGCGGGGGGCGCCAGGCTGCGGAGGGGCCACTGCCCGCTGGGGTGACCGGGCCGCGGGCAGCCGCGAGCCGTCTCCTCCCTGAGGGTCCGCGCCCCGACTCCGGAGACGCGGGTGTGGACTTCCACCCGCTGAGTGCACCCCGGGTGGGAATGCACTCCTGCAGCCTCCGTCAGGCTTCCGGCCCGGGGACCACCTGGGTCCCCTCTCCCAGGACCTCCGGAGGCGCAGGGTCCGCGGGCAGCCCAGCTGGTTGTCGGAGCCGCAAAGTGGGCGGACAGGCGCCACCTGGAGGCCGGGCGCTGCCGCTGCAGCTCAGCCACCCCGAGGCTGGAATCCCACCGAGGGGCTGACCTGGCGGCCCCAGAGCCCTGGTGAGCAAGGGGCATGGTGGCTAAAACGGAGGTCAGCCGGGCGCGGTGGCTCAGGCCTGTAATCCCAGCACTTTGGGAGGCCGAGGCGGGTGGATCACGAGGTCAAGAGATCGAGACCATCCTGGTCAACATGGTGAAACCCCGTCTCTACTAAAAATACAAAAAAATTAGCTGGGCGTGGTGGCGCGTGCCTGTAATCCCAGCTACTCTCGAGGCTGAGGCAGGAGAATCTCTTGAACCCGCGAGGCAGAAGTTGCGGTGAGCCGAGATCACGCCATTACACTCCAGCTCTGGGCAACAAGAACGAAACTCTGTCTCAAAAAACAAACGAAACAAAACAAAACAAACAAAACTGAGGTCAATCGCTGTTCTCTCCTTAGATCATAGTGAGCTGGCTGTGCTTCCTTTGGGCAGCCTCTTGCTCTCTCTGGTCTCTCCCATGCTGAGTCAAGCTCCAGTCCAGAGCTAGAGTGGGCTGTGGGCTCCCTTCCTTCCATTTATGCCCTGTCTCCCCATGGTCCAGCCAGAGGGTATACCAGAAACCCTGGACCTCAGAGGCATCCAGGATTTCTTCTGCCTTGTACTTCCACATGCCAGGACCCTCTTATCAATGTCTCTTCACTCTCTGATAACTTCCCAGGGCTGTAGAGGCTGCACAGCTGGATCAGAAACGAGCAGACCCTGACCCTAGGCCTCCAGTTGGGGCCATGGCACTGAAAGTAGAAGATGAGACTCCTAGAAAGGCCAGAGGATAGGCCTGTATGACCACAAAGACCCACAGATAGAGCCACCTGTGCCCTATAGCAAAAGCTACCGCAGGCCAACCTGTCCTTCCTTCATTCAGCCATAGCCTCAGCTCCATCTCATCTGCAGCTCCTGATGCTCCAACGGGAGGTTTTCCTAGGGTGGAAAAGCCATGGTTGAGCCCCTGTTGCAACCTCAGCAGCAGCTGCTTGAGACAGGCTCGGGCAGCTCAGAGCAGAGCCTCCAGCCTGCCTTTGTGAGGGTCATTAGGGGGCCAAGCTCTCAGCTCATGATACACACGGCATATGGAGGACACCAACGTTCAGTCCTCCTGGGAGGGCACCAGTGCTTCGTCCCATTCTGGGAAAGCTCCCAATTGAGCAGCCAGCACGACCTCTGTACCCTTCCTCCGCCAGGCCTGAGAAGGCCCCTCCCCTGACTTCTGACCCTCGCACATTAGTAGGAACTCAGGTCGGCCCAGGAGTTCTCCCTACTTCCCCATTTGGGGAGATCCAACTCCATTTCAGGGACTCTTGTTCTGGTCTGTCCAGGCTTTCTCTGCATCCTCCCAGGGCCTCCCACCAGGGGCAGTTGGTGTCCAGCATCAGGCACTGCACCTGGAAACTCGCGGTCTGGCCAGGGAGGCAGGCCAGAGCCCAGGCAGCCACCAGCAATTATGCACATGTGTGCAGTGCAGTCCTAGAGCATGCGGGACAGACCGCTGCCTCCCCACCCTCTTTCCTGGTCTCTGCTTCTCCTCCTGGTTTTTCCTCCATATGCCCTCCCTGCTTCCTCCCCCACCTGCCTCCTATATGGAGGGGAGGAAGAAGGAGGGGGCGAAGAAGCAGGGAGAACTTGACAACTCCACCTGAGGGGTGCCTCCAGCGCCTGCCTTCCAAGTCACAGGGTGGCTCTGGCACCTCCACCCTGGTGGGAGCTGAGGGTGGCCCCTGGGGGCTCTGGCAGGTAGAGAAGAACAGGGATGGCAGGAGAAGAGATGTGGGAAACAGCATAAATCCTGCTGCATATGGGGTGACGGGCAGAGGACGAACAATTCGGAGCTGTGGTTCTGCATCCAAGGCTCAGCACCACGGGAAACTAGACATAGAGAGGCCAGAGTTGGAGGAAGCTGAGAAACTGGAGGATTAGTGGGGAGAGGGTTGTTCCAGGGGAAAAACCAACAGCGCAGGGGCCACAGGTAACCTGGTTCAGCCAGACTCCAGCCCTAGCTTCCATCCCGGCTCCATATTTGCCCACAAGACCTACATGCTGGACCCAGGTCCGAGGATGGACAGACAGGACACACCAAGCCTCGTGCTTGGCCACATGTCTTTATTCCAAGACTCTGCCCCTTTGCAGCACAGGGCCCAGTGGAGGCCGCCCTTCCAGGGAGCCCCAGCCACGCGGACATGTCAGGGCTGGCTGTCCCCATCCAGCAGGGCACAGACCTCTCCTGCTCTGACACTGCACAGTGACCAGTGACGACTCAGGGCAGCCTGGCTGCCATTGCACCGTTCAGACAGTTGTAGAGGTAGATATACTGCTCCTGGAGATGGATGACGCAGGGGTGGGAGGCTCACCCCACCTGCTCCAATCTAACCGAAAAAGTGTCCCTTGTGTGTCCCAATCCGAGGACTCCGTCTGGGAGATCTCACCGCGGTTCACAGCGCCACCTGTTGGCTGCCCGGGTGGTGTGGCCTAGAGGCCTGGGCAGAAGCTCCCTTATCTCTCTGCCCCTTTCCACAGCTGAGGCCCCCACCATGCCCCCGGCCCCGCACGTGGCCTCTGGTCACCTCTAGTCGCCTCTCACCAGTGTTGGCGTCATGAGGCCACAGGCCTGAGACTGCTGCAGGGCCACCTTAAGACATCCATGGTGCACTCAGACCCTGCTTGCTGCAGCAGCTGCTCCATGGTCAGGAAGGTGCCCAGCTGGGTGGCACCCTTGCTGCAATTGACCTAGAGTTGGATGGGGTACCTAAAGAGGTGTGGCGGGGGTGTCTGGGAATATGAGAAAACCCAACCTGGGCGCAGGGACTGAGAAGGGACACTGAATGCTTGGTCAGCCAGCCAGCCTGGGCCCTGGTAGGGAGGCAGCACATTCCCACCGTACCCACCGCTGACTTTCTTCCCTGTTGCTCCCACACCAGCTGCCAGAAGTCCTCCAGCATATTCTTGAGAGGCCCCTGTGCAATTCCTGTGGGTGGGTGTGGCCCCGGGGTGTAGGGCGCAGAGGTCAGGAACATGCTAACGGGCAATGCTTGGTGCCAAGCACACAGCAGATTTCCGACATCTGACTTCCAGGAGTAACGATGCTGTGCCCATACCTACATGCATGCAAACACACCAATGTGTGCACCCAGAATACAGACCAGGAGGGCTGACTTCAGAGACACCACCCCAAAGGGACAAGGAAAGCCCCAATGAAAACAAGATTCCGACATGTGATAAACAGTCCATCTAGACCACCCTTTTCACCCACCCAGAGTTACCTTCCTAAAACCAAACTCTGTGTTTATTCCATGCTCAAAAATCTCCTATGGCTCTCCATGGTCCACCAAATAGAGTCCAAAGCCCTCAGCCTAACAAGCCCTCCTTCATTCAACCCCAGGCTACCTTTCCATTACATCTCCCACTGCCCAGCGCCTCCCCACTCACTCCTACGGCCCCCCAACACACACTGCCTGTGCATTACTGCCTGGCTGTTCTCTGGCTGCCCCTTCCAGCCAGAAGAATGTCCTTCCCTCTTTCACACTTTTCAAAATGTTACTCACCCTGCAATAAATCAAATGCCCCCTCCTCTGGGAAGCCCTTCTTGATTCCTCAGGTGGGCCAAATTTCTCCTTCCTCCATGTGCCCTGAACACAGTGCTTTGCTCCTGTATTACAACCCTGGTCACAACGTGTGGTGAGTGTCACACACATGCCCACATGTTCCTTTGAAGGTGGGGAATGTGGCTAACTCAGCTCCGCCTCCTGCAGGCTGAGCACAGAGCCCAGCACAAAGCAGACCCTTGCTAGACATCTGCTGGATTGGGCTAATGCAGCCCAAGCTGGTGATCTCCTAGAAGGCCGCTACAGCTAACGAAGGCCAGCGTGGCCTGCAAGCCAGCCCATCTCTCAGGCAGATCCCAGATCCCACGGACAGCCTCGCCGGCGGCCCTTACTGGGATGCAGTTGGTATTGATGTAGTCAGAGTGGGGCTCTCCCTCCAGCTGAGTCAGCCTGTCTCTGGAGGGGTCATCTGCAGAGAGTGAACGCTGTGCATTCAGGGCTGGGCACATGAAGCCCCTGCCCCCATGCCAAGCCCTAGCCCTCTGCCACACCTCCTCTGCTGCCCCCAGCACTCACAGGGTAGCACATGTGGGTAATGGTTCTTGGTGGTGTTGGGAGGGTGCTCAGTTCCCAATCTGGGCTGGTCCTTGCCCACCTCGTTCAGCTGCTGCAGGTTTCAAGGGTAGATACTGGTTGCTGAAGTAGACCCATCTTACCCAGTGCCAGGAGAGGGGCAGTGGGGGCAAGTGTGCAACTGGGAGTTCCCTCCAAACCTTCAGACAGGTCCCAGGCTTCCCTCCTCTGAGCCCAAGTGTGGTAGGGGCCTTACCTTGAATTCCAAAAAGAAAGCCTGGTGTGCGTGAGCGCTCTTGGCCTCATAGCTCTGCCTGAAGCTGTGGATAGGGATGGGCCGTTGGGTCCTCCTGGTGAGAGGGGGGTCTGCCTGGTGAGAGGAGGAGAGGGTAGCCCCCCAGCCTTAGGTTTGCCGAGTCCTGCCCTGCCCTCCCCTGGGTGATGAGAACAGAGCAGGCGACCTCCGTCCTGGCAGCACAACCTGATCACCTGGGGGCCTGCTGGCAACGCAGATCCTGAGCTCCGCC